TGCAGACGTCTGTCACTTTACTGAACGAATCTCTCCCCCCCTCCAGATTCCGCAGCCTCTGCACCGTCTTCCTCCGCGACTCAATGGGTTTTCTGCTGGTGTTTGACCTCACCAACGAGAAGAGCCTCCTCAGCTGCCGGGAGTGGATGAATATGCTCTGCCAGCACGCCTACTGTGACCGCCCCGACGTGGTTCTAGTGGGCAACAAGTCCGACAAAGTGGACGAGCGTGTCATCTCCTCCGCGGCGGCCCAAGACCTGGCAGATGACCTTGAGTGAGTTTTACATTCGCTGCTTCTTCTTGCTGTTTGCAGTCCAAACGCCCCCCCCCGCCCCCCCCAATCCAGAATAAGTAGACGCTGTCGCTGGGGGGGACAAACCTTTATTCGCCTGACGTTTCTCGAAACCAGTTTCCCATCTCGAACTCCTATCTGATGCTGTCTCTGATTAGGGGTTCAAATTCAAAACGTTGGACGAATAAAGTTCTTCTCACCCAGTGATTGCGCCTACTCTGCTTCTAAATAAATCATACTATTTGATATACTATGAAGTATTAGTAAAAACATTAATAGCCGAGGCGGTGGCTATAGGGCTAACGAATCCTATGCTGTGCTGTCGGAAGACGCTAGTACAGGCACTCTATCTTCCATGGCCGACGCCGACGCCGGATTGCGATCGAATATCCTCCCCACTCCGTGCACGTGACAGTTAGTTTCACCCCAATCCAGAAGAAGTAGACGCGGTCGCTGGGGAGAGGGGGACAAAAACCTTATTCGCCTCATGTTGGTCGAACCCAGCTTCCCATTTCGAACCCCTATCTGACGCTGTTCCTGGTCGGGGGCGGGGTTCTGGAGGAAATTCAAAACGTTGGACGAGTAAATTTCTTGCCCCTCTGCCTCCTTTTCCTCGACAAATCATATTACTTGATAGGCTATGAAGTATTGGTAAAACAAAATTGCCGATGCGGTGTCTCTAAGCTTACCGAATCCTGTGCTGTGCTCTCAGATGACACTAGTACAGGCACTCTCGCTTCCGTGGCCGACGCCAGGTGGCGATCGAATGTTCTCCCCACTCCGTGCACGTGAGATTTATTTTCACTCCGCGTACTTCACACATGACTTCTACCCACAGCCTATCCTATTCCTCTCAGTCCAATGACGTCTTCTTGCCAATCTCGCCATGCGGGGGTGTGAAACGCGATGCGTTTTAATTATTTGACATTTATAAACCCTGTTCGACACTCCTATTTTAATTGTCAGTGCAATATTGCAGGCTCGATTATGAATTGCCGAAAACACATTTTTGCCAGGTAGACTCTTCAAGTTAGACAAGGGAATATTTGCAGAAAAAGAAAAGAATAGTTCACAGATTTAGATAATGTGGTTCAAAAATACCGTAATTGAAAGTGAAACTGACACTTTGTTTTGAGTCTTTAGTAGTAGTTGCCTGAAACAGCATTTCAAAGCCCGTGTTCACAGTGGTTCAACAGGTGCAGACGTTCATTCATCCTTGACAAGTGTTGGAATGACTGATTCCGACAGCACACAAACTGGTCGGAAAGGATGTCGGAACATCATATACAACAAGCAACCTGGGTGCACCAAATATGTAGGTCCTTGTAAAATCTAAAGTTCAGGGGAGAGTTCGCGCTTTTGGACTTTTGAAAGATAACTTTCAGTAAAACTCCGTTTTTCTCAAAAGCGATCACTGATGGGCAATTGTTTCTACTTGTTTTCAGGATGAAAACACGCTTTTTTTTATAAATGGACAGTGAACGTAATATTTTCCTTCGAATTTTGTTTAAAACGAGAGCACGTGTTCGAGCTGGAGTTTGAAAATTTTTGCCTACCCCCCAAGGCTACCCACAACAAAGCTTTAGGTGTAATATTAGTAAAAAAGACAGGCGCTGGGAATCCAGACAATGAAGCTCACAAATGAACTCTAATTCACCGCGGTACCGAACGTTCTTTGTCATTCTATAGTAATTATAACGATAGCAGTTCAATCTAGGCCATCAAACAGCACGCGAATACTCCATTTTTCTGTAATACGGTAATAAAGGTTAAATTAGAGGGGCATCTAAGAAGAAATAAAAAAATAACTAGAAAAGTAGAGCGTATAAAAGTAGAAAATAATGGGAATAGTTGAGTAAATAACGAAATAACAGAACATTCGCGTGCGATAATTAAAATGGCCCAATAGTGGGAAAGTGGACACAATCTTCCACTCTATTTCATCTCTATGTACTCTCCATATCATAGAGATGATATAGGGGTTATATCGAGGTTAAATATATATGATATTGGTATCATATAGAGAGGATATGGTAAAGAAGAATGGTCGAGCACCGGATTGATTTGTTTATTGTTTTGAGCTTTCAAACTCGTACAGAAGCCCATCGCCAGAGAAGGGAAACAGCAACAAAAGAGTGGCTGGTTATAACGTGCGTACAAAACAGTTAAAATTTTGAACGTGTAGAAAACGATTACCCGTCTGGTGTGGGCGCCGATTGGCCACGTCAGCAACGAAAATTGGGTGATTATAGAGGATGTGGACCCAATTAATTATGACGGACGTCTGGTTGTGATTGTATGTAATTGCGCAAAACTCTGTGCGCTGGCGCCAATTCAACACATAGGCGGGCTGAGCTCCCGTCCGTGGACCGGGCTTCGATCAACTCTTTGTTCGTCTTGGTTCTGGCGTGGGCGAGTACCTTGACGACCGCGAAGTTGAAATCATGGTCTGTTTCGTGATGTGAGCTGCAACCTGTGATAATTCGTCGCCTCTTCGCACGGCCAACTTGTGCTTATGTATGTGCGATCCGAGCATGCGTTCAGTTTGGCCTGTGTAATTACGAGGACAGCTTAGGTATGGGCTGCGATACACTGCTCCAGATTGTTCAGTCGGCGTAAATCGGTCTTTTACTGTCATCACCCTGCTACGCATGGTAGCGTTGGGTCTGTGTTCAATTCCAAAACCTAGTTCCGCAGCGATGCGCTCGGTCGCTTCTGAGACGTCCTTGATGTATGGCAGAGCGTACCATATCCTCGGTGGATATGAAGTTGATGTAGAGATTCTGTCCCATTGGACACTATTTAGGCATTTTAATTATCGCGGGCAAATACTTGTTTATTTAAATAAGCTGTTTGGTGACCTAAATTGAACTGTTACCATTATAAAGTTTCACAAATGAGGGCTTGTGCATTTAGTGGCTGTGAAATAAAACACTTCGTTGAAGTCCTGTGAAAAGGATTTCTTCTCGAACCAATCTTCAGAGGCCGCATCAGATAAGGCTACTGCACCCACAGGAAGTTGTAATATTTAAAAGGGATGCAATCGTTAGAATAGTGCATACTTTGCACATTAACGCCTCCTCCCTCATCGATGATGATGATGACGATTGCCCTCTGGTGCGCTAATGGCCTGGTAGCCAGCATGTGGGTCGCTATCTCCTCAAATTTTATTGGATGCCAGTGTGTGATGATTGCTCAGCCATCTGGCGCACCGGTACGGCGTTGCTCGTATTGACTGCAACGCCCTGTGCCCTAATTACCCGTTTCTGGTACTCTGCCTCTGATGATGGGCTCGAAGGAGAGGGGGGGCGGTAATCAAAAACGTCAGCGTTATTATCCCAGCCGTCGCGTCTACCTCTGCTTCCTGAGACTAGCATTTTCTGAGAAGAAGAATTTTCGACGTACTCGTCTTGCGAACTCCCGACGGCAACGTAGAAACGAGGGTCTACAGAAAGGCAACGAACACCCCACAGCTTCTTAGTCACAGCAACCATCCGATGGCTCACAAACGAAGCTGTGTGAGAACGCTGTT